GCGCGCACACAGACATACACACACACACACACACACACACACACACACACCCTGTTATTAAGTCATCATACAGTAGGGTCTTTGTTCTTCTGCAAGGAGGAGAAATAGATTAGAATAGACAGAAACAAAATAACATTGAACTTGGACAGCTGTTGTAACACAAACCAAATTCTCTTATTCATTTTCCTTAGTTTTTCTGTTATATATCTTTGTTCACTTTATGCTGTTTCCACAAGTTTACATATAGTTTCCACAGCAACAGCATTAGACAAACTGCATTTGATTGGTTCACCTCTGGAATCAACGTAGCTATTTATAATGAACTAAATTTAACACGAGAGAAGTTATTCATTTGCTCAAACATTCAGTGAGCCTTCATTTTGAATTGTTGCTATATCTCCTGTCATGACTTAACCAAGGTTATTATCGTTAACTAAGGGGGTGTTACATGACCGTTTTTAAATAACTTTTTTTTTTTTGCATTTTGGCCATTAATTTACACGACAACAGCATTTTGGGAGCCTGAAAATGCGAACTATTGAAAACGGGTTTCGGAGTGGAAATTTTTCAATAATGACACATTTATCGTGTCTGTGTAAACTCCGAAAACATGAATTTATGAAAATGGTGACATATGTTCAGTCTATAGCAGGGTTGTCAAACTCAGTTTTTGGATGGCCGCAGCCCTGCAGAGTTTAGTTCCAACCCTGCTCCAACACACAAACCATGTAGTTTTCAAATAAGCCTGAAGGACTTGATTAGCTGGATCAATTAGGGTTGAAACTAAACTCTGCAGGGCTGCGGCCCTCCAGGAACTGAGTTTGACACCTGTGGTCTATAGAAATGCATATGTGTGCAGGCCCGTAATGTTTCTTTACATTAGTGTTTATAAGTAAAATAATCAACTACTGTCATGGCATGCATAATACAGCGTTTTTAGTCATTTTTGCGGATCTGTGTGAACAGGGATGTTGCAAAACAGTTACTGCAGGGCTGCGGCCCTCCAGGAACTGAGTTTGACACCTGTGGTCTATAGAAATGCATATGTGTGCAGGCCCGTAATGTTTCTTTACATTAGTGTTTATAAGTAAAATAATCAACTACTGTCATGGCATGCATAATACAGCGTTTTTAGTCATTTTTGCGGATCTGTGTGAACAGGGATGTTTTTGACAAAGTTGTCGTCTGTAACAAAACTTTGTAAAAACAAAAGAAAAACTTCTGCTTTTTAGTGCAATCCTTGTCTTGTAAACAAACCCTAAAACTGAAACCATTACAACATTTTGTTGCTTGAAATACGATAAACTCTAACAGAAAAACAACATTTCTCATTTTTGTGTAGTTTAACTTGAAGTAGCCTACTAAAATAAAAACTGAAACCGAGATAAAAAATAGACACGTATGTATAGACGTTAATAAATGTAGGCCTATTAATAAAATATTAATGTATAAATGTATTAATAAATATAAATAAAAACTATAATAGTATAGTACTAAAATAACACTGAACTGGAAATAGTCACCTAAATCTGGCAATATGCTGTAAATGCTAACAAAAAAAGTACAATTTTTGGGTATTGAGTTGCATTATAATCTTATTCTACAATCTCAGAAAGTACAAAAGCTGTCACTGGTCACTACCTTTCCAATAGGTATACTTTTGTACCTTATTTATCCCACAATGGTACATATTAGTACCATAAAAGTATGTATTTTAGTAGCTACCTAAACGGTACGTATTTCTACGTTTTGTTTTTTTCAGAGAGAGTACTTATTTTTGTATTTTCCCTTGTACATCTCATTTCTCTGTCTCTCTCTCTCTACAGGTGGTGATGTATATTGGACAAGTGATGAAGGATATGTTAAAGCTGCCGCGTCCTCCGTCTCCCCCTGTGGTCAAACTGGAGATGCGTGTGGACGCGGAGTACGGGATGCCGTCCACACACGCCATGGCAGCGACGGCCATCTCATTTACACTGCTTCTCAGTGCTCAGGAGAGAGTGAAGGTCAGACATGCTAGATTGAGAATGTTTTGAATGTGGTTTGTTTTTGCATCGTTCACTGAAGGGGCGGGGCCATCTGTCACCATCAGTCAGCCCAAGTCCCGCCCACACATCTGCTGTGTGCCATTATAATGAACTCTCAGTAAATGACTGTCAATCAGCGTCAGGTGTAGACGGTGCCATCCATCAGCTTTCAAACCTTTGACTCTTGAGTGTTTTCAAATATTGGTTCAATTGTAAGTGTAAACCTATAACCTTCTGTGCTCCTTTTATACAGGCCACACAGTAGCACACGCATATAAGCATTATAAAACTTTTATTAGTGGATTGTAAAGTTGCATTCCTTTCTTTAAGAGTGTTGTTTTGCTGTTTTGTCTGTAGGCATATTTGTTGATATAGGCAGCAATTTTTAAATGTTAAATTTTATTTTGTTTTATTGCAAACAAAATTGAGTAAGTATGTGTTGAAGCTAATTTGAAACTGTAGTCAAGATATCAAGTTATATATACAAAATAAGAGATATAATGATGAAAAATATTGAAATTGGAGCAATATTTACACTGCTGTCAAATGTTTGGGGCCAGTAATGTTTATTTATTTATTTTTTTTTAAAGAATGTATTGCTTTCGATCAGCAAATATGCCTTAAACTGATCAAAAATGACAGTAAAGACATTTATGTTATACAATTTCTATTTCAAATAAATGCTGTTCTTTTGAACTTTCTATTTATAATTAATCCTAACAAAATGTATCACAAGTTCTACAAAAATATGAAGCAGCACAACTCTTTTCAACATTGATAATAATCATAAATATTTCTTGAGCAGCACATTAGAATTATTTCTGAAAGATCGTGTGACACTGAAGACTGGAGTAATGATGCTGAAAATTCAGCTTTGTGTCACATGAAAAAAATTAAATTTTACAATATATTTACATGGAAAACAGTTATTTTAAATAGTAAAAATATTTCTCAATATTTCTGTTTTTACTGTATTTCTGATCAAATAAATGCAGTCCTAATGAGCATTAGAAAAAAAGTAATTAGTTACTAGTCCAGACATTCAGTTTTGAAAATGGCTCAACTATATTGTCGCCCTACTTAAAACTGGTTAAATTACTAGCTGAAAAAGATTAACTGATTTGAAAAACCGTTCTTTGTACGTAAAGGAATCCAGAGAGCTGTATGTGTATGATTTAAGAGTAAAAAAAAAAAGCCATTCCAGTCAATTATACATGAGCTCTACTGTCCCACAGTCCTTCGTGCCCATTCAGGAAACGTTCTTCATTAACTTCCTGTGAAAGACCCCCGGCTGACAGAGGAAGAAAGAAAGGAAAGGAGAGATAGACAGATGGAGAGACAGGGAGACGGATGGAGTAAGCCAGAACAGAGGGGGCGGAGCAACTTCATGAATATGTAAAGCCTCTTCCAGTGTTGTCCGTGATTAACAGAGTCCTGAATTAAAACCAGAGGGAAGAGCACATGTCTGGAGAAAAGAGATGTTATTAGGAGAAGAGCTGCCACACAGAATGGATGGAGACTGCAACATAGAGAGAGAAAGGAAAAGACGATGAGGAAAGATGGATGAGAGGATGTTTTGATTAAGACACTAAATTTTCACTTAGAAAGACCATTTAGGAGATAAAAACACCATAGAAGTAGTTCATATGCCTCATGCACTATATACCAAGTCATCTGAAGCTAAAAGATAGCTTTTTGTGTAGAGTGGATCAAATTCAGCACATTATTTATGGAAAATCTTATCCTCTGCAATAGCTTTCAAATCTAATTTGTATTTGTTTACATTCAAACATGTCCACTTTTGACATAAGTTACATCAAACTGACTGTTGCTAAAATGCTCATTTTTGATTGAACTGTTCGTTATTCTGTCTTTGCATGTTAGTTCCCGTTTGAACTGGGACTGATTGTGGCCGTGGTTCTGTCTGCGCTGGTGTGTCTGAGTCGTCTTTATACCGGCATGCACTCTGCTCTGGTAAGTCTGGAAGAGAGACTTTAAAATGGACATGCGCTTTTGCGTCTGATATGAAACATTTATACTCCTGTATAATTCATATAGTCTGGCTGGTCTCCATAAATTTGACCTCTAGTTCCTTTAATATAGCACAGCTGTAGTGGTGCATCATGCTGAGGCAAACGTTTGACCTATTGCTCATGCTTGGAGATATTAATATAATAAAATATTAATAAAATTAATATTAATAGGAATATTTAAACATGAATATTTTAATATATTACAAGATTTGTATTAGTAAATATTTTTATATAGTATTATTCAAAATCTTTGTAGTTTAGTAGTAGTACATTAGTAGTTTAGCATTAAATCTAGCTGTTAACCTGTTGATTTAATTGGAGCTTTACATGTCACATTGTAGTTAAATTGCCCATATAGAAAAATTTAGATTTAGAACACCCTGCGAACAGCTAAAAACATCCTAATAACCACGCAAAACACCCTAGCAACCACACAGCAACATGTTAACAACCATTTAGAATAAAGCAATAAGCCCCAAGAAGCCATGGTTTACAGTGAATTTATAACAGCTAAGGGGCGTTGCCTAAAACCCCCTTAGCTGTTATAAATTCACTGTAAACCACGGCTTCACAGGGCTTATTGCTTTTATAAAACGGTTATTCCATATACGTAGTTAGGTTTCACAAAATAAAACAGAGCAAATAAAGTGTAATGATATTAATAAAAACAGTATTCTTCCGCCAAACAATGTAGTTCCTCAGAAACAGTTGTGGTTGCAACAAAGTGGTTGCCGAGCAACACACAGAAGTAAACAAAGGTGTATGTTAGTAGAGTAATTTACAACAGCTTCGAACGTGGCTCAACAAATCAGAATCAAGTACCGGAACTATCCGTTTTATAACACCCCTGAAACCAGCTAGAAACATTCTAGTCACTCGCAACAGCCCTGCAACTGCATAGCAACACATTAACAACATTAGTAACAATATTAACAACCACTCAGAACATTGTAGCAACCGCATAGCAACATATTAACAATGAATCAGAACACTGTAGCAACTGCATGGCAACAAATTAACAACCACTCAGAACACCCTAGCAACTACATAGCAACATGATAACCACTCAGAACACCATAGCAACAAATTAACAACCGCTCAAAACACTCTAGCAACTGCATAGCAACATAACCACTCAGAACACCATAGCAACAAAGTAACAACCACTCAGAACACCCTAGCAACTACATAGCAACATAACCGTGAAAATTCGCTCATTTCAACAGGAATCCATGTGATTGGGAATTTCGTGTGAGGGCCAAAGATTTCCCCACGCAGATTTTGTGACTGGTTCAAGATGGTCACACGAATTTGTCATGTTGACCAACAGAAAGCTGCTCGATTTGAATGTGATTTCTGCGCGAGTTGTGCTACACCATTGACAACGGACCTTTTGGCGTTCAAAATATCGCTGAAATTTTGCGAATGTCTTTGAAGAAAGTCCTTGAAGAAAAAGGTCTAAGTTCGGTTTTGTGACATCACAATGACAAGCTTAAAGGGTAGATGATGATGTTTATTAATGACCATTTGACTGCCTCAAATCTATGCTTTTTTTAAACACGTAGTTATGCATTTGATATTTATTACAAAATACTGAAGAACATATTTTGTACTTTGAGTTGCCGGGTATGATACTCAGGATGTGTGTTTATGAGCTTTTACAGATGTGGTAAAAGAAATTAATAAACACCGTAAAAACGGCTCTGAGTATGTGTCTTCGCTCTCCCTTCATTGTTTTTTTAATTGTATTGATGTGCTGAGGAGTGTTTGGTTTAACAGTTCTTTATGACAGAAACCACAAACATGCCTCATGTAGCCACAAACCCTCACAAATGCAGTGTACACACAGACCATCCTTTCACACACACAAATTGAAGACAGAGCATAACCGCCTCTGATCACTTACCCTTTTAAATGTGTAGTTCAGAAACTAGAGAGGTACACATTTAGACACACCTACTCAACTTCTAACACTTAGAATAATGTCAAAGGCATTAAATAGCTACTATGAGATAACAAAAAATGGAAGTATGGAAAGCTATTTAGCTTATTTTAATTATATTAACTGAAGCCTTTGGATTCTTAAGATCATGAAAAACTGAAATTCAGGCAAATGCATGTAAACAAGTCTGGTATCTGCTGGAAATCAGGTGGAGCTTGACTCTTTTGCCCTGACCTGTCCGATAACCTGTTAAACCAGACACTTCCTCACTATCATCTCAAACCAAACACACAGATCTGGGCTCGTTAATCAGTGATTAGGAGTCCTGTTTAACAAGTTACAGCTGAAATATACTCACATACACAAGCCACTTTCAATATGCCTGTGATTTATCCTATATAGCATACACAAACACACATGGTTGGTTTTCTAGCATCAGTGCAGCTGGAGTCTCTCTGTTTGTTTTGTGTAGCCACAAACCCTCACAAATGCAGTGTACACACAGACCATCCCAGATAAAGTACAGTGTCGCATTAGATGACTTTGCTTGATATGCATCAAATACATGCAAAAACCAACAGTTGTAGACGTTTTTGGTTTATTAATCCATATTTCTTTGTTTCCATGTTGTAAAATTAGCTGGACACAAACATACAGCCATGATGTTTAATATATGAATAACATACTAGCAGTGGACAAGTTTGAGTTTTATTAAAACACTTATACCATGAACATACAGTAACGTGCTTTTGTGACTAGAACTCATTCTCCTAAAGATAGATGTGACAGTAATGTGTGGCTTCTGAGGGAGGAGCCCAAAGCAGAGGGGTGTGGCTGAGGTTATTTGCATTATGACATCACAGGAAGGGTTCGATGTCAATATCGATGGCAGAGCAGGGCATGGTCAGCTCAAAACGACTGATGACATCAGGGTGAAGGACCCCGAGGTGTCCGATGCTTTTGCCACATGAAAAGATCTCAGCACAGCGGCCGGGAAAGAAGGTGGAGTCTGTAAGAAAGATGATGGAAATTTCAGTATGTATTATATGCTATTACAGTATTTATTAAGATTTTGAATCAGCTTTTAATTGTATATTTTCAGTTTTTATTTTAATGTTAAAGTTTTAGTAATTTTGTTTTGTGCATTTTGTCTATTTTTTTATTCTGCTTTATTTGAATATTTAGCTTTCATTTACTTTTGAGTAATTTTAGTACTTAAAATTAATTTCCACTTTTTCAGAATCCTAACTCTTCCTATTTTGACTTTATTTTTGCGGACCTACTGCAAGCACATAAACGCTGTTAAATATTAACCACTAAAATAAATCTTTGAATATGACTCACAGGAAGGACACCATGTCGACTTTTAACATTTATGACTCACCCTCTGCCGCCTGGATGTGGTATCCTTGGTTACGGCCCGGTTTGACATCCAGCAGCTGCATGACTCGGTCCAGAAGTCCATGGATGACTTCAAATCCCGGGCTCTTGTTGTAGTAAACGGCACAGAGACGCCTGTTGTTACGGGCTCCTACGTCTGCCAGACACAAAGTTCAGTGATTGCATACTTCTTAGCATGCATTACGTGATATGAGGACATCAAACACACCTTTAGTTTCATCCTTCAGGACGACGTCTGAAATCTCAAACAGTTTGAGAGGAAGGGGCATCTTCCTGTTGGCAGCGAGCGTCTTCAGGAGTCCAGGAAGAAGACAGGTACGCACCACCTACAGGAAAGTACGGTTTAGTTAGTCAAACCCTAACTATCCTGCCACAGGAGCTGCTGAAGCAGTTCTACTCAGCCGTCATTGAGTCTGTTCTGTGCACTTCAATAACTGTCTGGTTTGGTTCAGCTACAAAATCAGACATCAGAAGACTACAGAGGACGGTTCGGACTGCTGAAAGGATTATTGGTGCCCCCCTGCCTACCCTCCAAGAACTGTATACTTTCCTTGTATGTGCAAACATACTTGGCAATAAAGCCCTTTCTGATTCTGATTCTGATTCTGAACTACTAACTGATTTAAACTTGTGAAAGCACCCACTAGTGGACAAATGTGAGAAATGCAAATCGGAGGTGTCAGGATTTTTGTGGGTACCTGAAACTCTGCGGTCTTTGGGTTGGAGATGTGGACTGCTCTGGTTTCGACAATGTTTTTCCTGAGTTTATCTGCGATATCTTCTTGTGAGCACTGCAGAGAGAGGAAAAGACTGTCACGTCATGGAAAAGATAACACAAAAAAAACACATTTGTTATATTGTTCTTGTGGCTGTTTACAAAAACAAATATACAGCACAACCAATGTTATCATTTGTTTTCAAATCAGACTTTAATGAGCGAAAATTTCTATTTTTAAGTGCATGTTATTGATTTTTAGTTTTTTTTACTGATTCATCATTGAATTCATTGACTGATTCATTGACTTTTTTTAAACAAATTGTCATCACTAGGTTTCTGGATTACATTTTTAAATAATCCATTATACTTGGATGTTCGTCACACTACAGAAGAAAATGAATGAATGAAAATGCTTTAAATGAACTCACAAACTTATGATTTATTAGTTTGAATCAGTTTGAAAAATTACTTGCTGAATCTGTCCTGGTTAATCTGGTTATGACAGTCACCTTTTAAATGTTTATATTTCAACAGCGAATTGGAAATTAAATTCTATCATTTAAAAGTCAGCATAAAAACTGATGTGCAATTTAAATGTTTGTACATTTTTACAGTTTTTAATTGAAGGTTGATTATTATATTCTAAAAAATAAATAGCAATGGATTTTGTTAATTTACACTTTAATATAATATTATAATAAATGTACCATCTGAGAGGAATCCCTGTGCATTAGTTGAGATATTGTTTTCCTTAAGAAAAATTGACATGTACAGTACCTGATATTTATCCGAACAAATTGATATTGAATTGAATTTTAACGAAATCAAGGCCTTGCGAATTGGAAAAGATTAGATTTTTGAAATGTCTACCAAGCCCTAATAACAATGATCATTTAATTCTAATGGTCAGAGAGAGAGAAAAATAGCCATGAAAACTAAATGACAAATGTTTTCAGTTCAAGAAACTTGATAAATGGACTTC